AACTGATGGACACTTCAGTGACATCAATACAATATATATATATTAACACATATGCACATATTCTTACATATATAACATATATATAGATGCACACAGAGATGTCTGCTCAGTCTTCGAACCACTGAAGTCAGGAGTTGGGGAAACACCACACACATTCCCACTAAAATCAGGACAAGGTAAAAAGAACATTATCTCCAATTAGAGAAGAGACAACAATTATAGCAGACATCCCTGCCCCGTACTAGCAGGCTATGTGTGGCACCTGCTTCTTGCTTTCCATAATTTGGCTATATTGTTTTATATCAGGAGTCAGACCGAAGCTCTACCTGACTCAGATGGGCATGTCAGATGGCAGATTGGCGGGCATAAGCCCCCCCCAGTGGCTGCCACAGAGACCTAGGCCCTGGTCTGTGAGTGGCAGGGCTCTGCTGAGTTACTACAGCTGAGGTCGGCATGACCCCAATTGAAACCTTCTCCCCAGAATTATGGCTTCTCACTGACCCGATGGGTTGCTTGCTAATTAATTGCATCCCATCCCAATACCTGTTTGTTCTGTCCAAGCAAGGTAAGCAGTGCCTACTCCCTAAGAGCCCTGCCTGGTGCCATCATACCAGGTGTTTGGCAGTGTCTCACTAGATGCCTTCAAAGCACACCCTGCCCCCTATTCCTTCCCACGGGTGTATTCAATAAACTCTGGATGCACTTTGTCTTTGCTGCCATCAGCAGCACTGATCTGGACCCAAGACTCAGCTTCTCCACTCTAAGTCTCATTTCCGGTCTGTTCTTTAATTCACCTTGTGCTGTGGCTGGCTCACAGGCAGAGGTCCTGATAACGTTCCCTTCCCCATTCCCTACAATTACAGGAATATGTTTGATAAAAACTATTTCTATTTGCTGATGATATAAAAGCAAAAGAAATTAACACCCTTGGGCCAGGGATTTAGCTCAGTGATTTCGCTGCCTGCTGCGCAAGCTCAAAGACCCGAGTTCGATCCCTGGTACCAAAAAAAAAAAAAAAAAGAAAGAAATTAACACCCACAAACCATCAGCCTGCACAATGTAAGAGCAAGATCTAGTTCAAGTGTATACAAGGCTTGTAATAACTGAGCTGTAGAGGGTCTTGGTTTTGGGAAACTGACATCTGTAGACATGAAGTGTGCAAAAGCTTGGGATGGGGCTTGCAAGACAGCAAGCAGTACGTGTTCACTCTCCATGTGTCATGGTTATTTCCGTAATGAGACCTAAAAATGCAAAATGTGCTAAGTTCTTGCCACCTGCTAAACCCCAGAACCTGACTATTCAAACTTCTTAAAATTGGTTCATTTCCATAAAATAGACAGCTAGAATATGAGACAAGATCAGTGCAAACAAACCGGACAGAAAGGAGCACAACAGGTCACAGACTCCATGCCACTCTGCTGCTGCTGTTCCGCATGAGGCCTCAGCCTCAGCCCTCCAGTCATGAAACTCCTCCGACACGAGTAAAAACAGCTGCCTGCTGGTGGTGGGTACGAGGGAGGCAAAAGTGTGCACCAAACGAAACGAAGCAAACGAGTATAGTCGTGCACCCCTGTAGGCCCAGCACTTGGGAGGCTGATGCAGGAGGATCACTGTGAGTTCGAGGCCAGCCTGGGACACAGTTCAAGGCCAGCCTGAACCACAACACGGAGACATGGTGGCATATGCCTGTCATCTCAGCACTCTGGGAGGCTGAAGAAGGAGGATCACAAGTTGAAGCCCAGGGGGATAACTTTGTGACTCTGAGAGACCCAGTCTCAAAATCAGAAACTTTAAAAAGGGCTGGGGACGTGGTTTGGTGCGAAGGCCCAGTACCGCAAATAATAAAAATAATAACAACGAGGATGATGCTGAGGCAGAGTTTGTCAAGTACTCTACCCAGGCAGTACGTGTCACAAGACCCGGGTCCCACAGGCTGAGCCTCGCGCCCGTAACCGCGGGGCTCTGTGACGTCACGAGCCCGCCCCCGAAGACAGGCCAATCGGAGCGCGGAGCGGGCCGAGCCCCGGCGAGCGCGCACGCAGCTGGTCTGCGTGCGGTCGCAATGGAGTCGGGCTCGGGCTTTGTCTTTCGGCTGCAAGGTGTTAAAAAGATTAATTTAATTTATTCATATATTATTGCCATATTGGGGATTGAACCCAGGGTCTTTGCACTGAGCTTCACCTCCAGCCCTTTTTTTCATTTTCTGTGACAGTCTCCCTAAGTTGCTCAGGCTGGGCATGAACTTGCGATCCTCCTGCCTCAGCCTCCCGGAGTTCTGGGAATAGGGGGCATGCATCTCTAACCCCGGTGAAAACATCTTTTAAAAAAACCCACACTTTTGAGAATTACTTACAGTACTCATGCTCAGCCTAAAGAGAATAATTGGTTTTTGTTTCTCATTTTCTACAGGATACCCAAAGGACCTGTTAAAAGTATTTTCGCTGACTCCAGCTGTAACTTCGCTCCTTCATGTTGGTCAACAGAACTCCACATCAACTAAGTTTACTGCTTCAGTCTTTGTGTTTCAGTTGTTAGTTAAGTAACGTCCAGGGTATGCCTTTTTAAAGTTTTTAATTAAAAGAAGACAGCACCAGTGGCATTAGCTCTTTGGTGTCGCCTCCAAAAAAACACCTCAGTTCCACTCCGAGCAACATTTGGATACTTCTTGTGTGTAAAGAAGTGGTCACAAGTTGGGCATGGTGGTGCACAGCTGTCATTCCAACACTTGGGAGGCTGACAAGGAGGATCACTGAGTTCGAGGCCAACCTCAAACTGTATAGCGAGACCCTGCCTCAAAAACAACAGGGCCAGGGATTTAGATCAGTGGTGCCACCACCTGCCTCGCAAGCACAGGGGCCTGAGTTTGATCCCCGGTACCAAAACAAAAAAAAATCACAAAAGCACAAATCCTTTGCTACTCTGGCAGAAGGGGGAAATTTGGGATTGACATCTAAACAGAAAAGAAAGTTCCACTTCTGTTTTTTCTCTCTCATAAACCTCACCTCCAAGACTTCCCCATGGAGCCCCTCATGAAATGCCCTGGCCAACTTTCCCCTTGTTGTGATTCTGTTACCATTAAAGTGTCTCATGCCAAGTATCACTAAAGCACTGCCCCTCAGAGTCTTTGCAATCCACTGCTCTGACTTCCTGTGATGGGCTTAGCCCTCATAAACATGAGGCTCACTTTCCGGCTCCCCCCTTAACTCAGGGTGTCGAGCATTTTGTCTCAGCAACAAGAGAAAAAGTGAAAGGTTGCCGAAGAAGGGGGTCACACGAAGACATTCAAGCAAGCTTTATTGGGGGGGCAGTCTGCAGCCTGCTGGGCTGACTCACAGAATGGAGACCAGCAACTGTATGGGCTGAGCTGGAAGCTTATATAGGGAACTTGCAGGAGGGAGAGCAATAGTCCATTGGTGGGGGGAGGTGGGTAATTGGGGCAGGGGTATGTAACAATAGGTTTCAGTCAGGGGGATGGAGTAACTGCTTTCGGGAGGCCCCTATCTTACTGGAATATCTGACTAAGAAACCAGTAGGGCAGAAAGACCTTAACTAGGCAGAAAGTCACTAACAAAGGGAGGTCATGCCTTAGCTATGTAGAAGTTCCCTGTTCCTTGTGGCCGGAGTGGGGTAAAGGGAAAGGAGAGGAGGGGGCTTGCTCTGTGGGGGCTCTGAAATACCCAACAAGAAGTATCTAGACAAAGCCTACTTGGGCTCGCTGGACCAGGTGGTGCTGATTACAGTATAATTTCAAAGTACTGGGTATCTTTTTTTTTTTTTTTTTGGTACTGGGGATCGAACTTGGGGCCTCCTGCTTGTGAAGCAGGCAGCGGAACCACTGAGCTAAATCCCTGCCCCATTGGGTATCTCTTAAGGAGGCTTGCAGGCCTGGCTGTCACATCTCCATCTTGAGGCCTGGCTTTGTTCAGATGCATCTCCAGCTGTGATCTGTTCTCATCCTCTGCACTGATTCCCTCGAGGGCCTAGACCCTGTCTGACTGGCTATTAATTTCTACCTAACTTAGGTGTCTATAACACTATCCTGCCCTTTCCTGATGTCACCACATCACATAGGCGCTTGTGTCTTCTCTCCTAGAAATTTAAACTCCATGAAGGTTTTTATTTAATTGTTTTAATTGCTGTATCTCCAGAATCTATCAGGCTATTCAGTAAAATTCTGTCAAATTACCAGGGTATGGATTTTATCCTAATTCTGGACACAAATTCCTTTTTATATAAAAGGGTTAAGATGTATGATGCCATATGTGAATGTAAGGCATTCATATTTTCTGAATCTTTTTCTTACTGGACCCACAGACAAGAAAGAAATACTGTACAAGTAGATCCCTAAGTTACCTCTAAAATGAAGTCTTTCCTTGAGGTTTACACAACCACACTGTCTCCAAAAAGTAGCTGCTGGCTGGGCGTGGTGGCACACGTTTGTAATCTCAGCACTCTGGGCGGCTGAGGCAGGAAGATCACAAATTTGAGCCCAGCCTGAACAATGTAGTGACTCGGCAAGATTTTTCTTTTTTTATACTAGAAATTGAGCCCAGGGCCTTCGCACTGAGCTACATCCCCAGCCTTTTATTCCCCCGTCCCTGGCCTTTTAAAGTAATTTAAGGCTGAGAAAGATAAAGCAACTTGCCCAAGGTCCCTGGCAACCAGGCCTGAGATGTGACCCACTCCCAAGGTTGCATTTACCCTATCATGTTAATACAAATATGTGAAGGAAGCAGCAACAGGCCCCTTTTTTCCCTTTGGTTTTCTGAGACGGTCTCGCTGTGTAGTTCTGGCGGCTCACTGTGTGACCCACTCTGATGCAGCGGACCTTCTTCCCTAGGAAGCAAATTGCTAACGGTATTAGGATGGGGGGGGGGTTGTAGGGAACCGCAGGAACTTCCGGCTTTCTAAAGCACTGGTGCACCGAGCTCATGACGTCACTGCGTACGGTGAGACGCTGCCCTTGACGTCTTGCTCTTCCAATGACCTTCAGGGCCCCGGAGACGTAGGCACACGGAAGGGCTCTGTCTGCACGCTGATTGGTCGAGCGCCAAGGTCAGTCCCGCCTCCCGCGTTCTGCTCTCCTCCCTTCAGAAGGAGCCATAGTCTTCGCGGAGTTGGGTGTTTCTGGGAGCTGAGCGATAGTGTGCCGACGATGCCTCGTGGAAGCCGAAGCCGCACTTCCCGCGTCCCCTCTCCGGCTAGGTGAGACCGTGCTGGGGCTCGAGGTCGAAGTCAGGCGCCCGGAATCTGCCGGCTCCGCAGGCAGAGGACGGTGGGAGCGAAGCGCCGCGCACCGTGGCTTCTGTTGTGTTCGTCGTGTGCCGGGCGCTCATGCACGGGAAAGCCGTTTTGTTTTTACTTGTTGCAGTTTTGAGACAGGGTTTCACTATGTGGCCCAGGCTGGCCTCGAACTCATGGCGACCTTCCTGGCCCAGCCTCCAGTCCTGGGAGGACAGGCATGCGCCATCACGCCGGTCTGGTTGATAGCGCAGTGACGCGCGCTATTTAATAGCGGAGTAGCGTGTTAAGTCCTAACCTTTTGACGTGGGTAAATGGAAATAGGAGCCACTTTACCGCACTTCAGGGTTTCGGGAGCTTCGTGGCGCCGATGCTGGTGGTGGTTGCGGTACTGGGGACTGAACGCAAGGCCTTCGCCGTGAGCTATATCCCCAGCCCTAGTTAGTTATTTTTGAGACAAAGTCTCGTGAACTGCCCAAACTGGGCTGAAATGTGTGATCCTCCTGCCTAAGCCTCCCAAAGCTGAGATTACAGGTGTTGCTTCCATGCCCGTTTTAAACTTCATTTTCCTATTCTGTAAAAGTCAAGGAGCCGGGCTGGATCATTTCGCCACATGACTCTTCAGTTTGGAGTTTGCGTCGCAGGATTGCTCTGGTGCCTACACTGTCCTGAGCTCCTGTGCCCAGGCGAGTCACCCTGGCTCCCGAGTGGCACCACAATGGGCCCCAGGGTTTTTGTTTTATTTTTGTGGTATTAGGGTTGGACCTACAGACGCGCTACCACTAATTTACTATCCTTATTTCCTGTTTTGAAAGAGCATCTCCTGGGTCAGGGATTTAGCTCAGTGCTTCCACTGCCTGCCTTGCAGGTGCAAGGTTCCGAGTTCGATCCCTGGTACCAAAAAAAAGAAAGAGAGAGAGAGAGAGCGAGAGCATCTCCTTACGTTACTTTATTCAGGCTGGCCTTCAACTGGGCAGTCCTCCTGATTCAGCTTCCTGACTAGTTGGGATTACAGGTGTGTGCCACTATGCCTGGCTGCCTTTTTTTTTTTTTGGCTTTGGTTTTTTGAGACAGTCTTGCTGTTAGTTCGGGCTGCTCTTGAACTAGCTATGTAGCCCAGGCTGGCCTCAGACTCATGGCAATCCTCCTACCTCACCCTCCCGTGCTGGGATTACAGGCGACCACACCAGAAGTGAATGAAGGCAGCAGACAGTTTAGACTCGCCCAATTATATTTTTCAGCCTCTCCAGTACCCTTGAACGTTGTGGTTGCCTAACATTTGACTAGATGAGTTCTCTAGCTTAATATTCTGTATATTTTTATGAAGTATTGGAATAACTGGCATTTAAAGAAACCATGGTTAATGTGAGCTGGACGTGGTGACACAGGCCTGTAATCCCAGCCCTGGGAGGCTGAGGCAGAAGGATCACTGCAAATTCAAGGCCAGCGTGGATTACATAGCAAGACCCTAGCTCCAAAAGCCAAAAAATAAAAATTAAAAAGAGAACAAAGATACTGTGGTTTATGTGGATACATGGAAATGGTTGTCGGAAAAAAAATAAAATATACAGTTGATACTCGGTCACTACCACCTTATCAGAAGAGATAAGATGCCTTGTGTGGTGGTGCACGCCTGTAATCCCAGCACTCCAGAGGCAGAGGCAGGAGTATTGCCAAGAGTTCAAGGCCAGCCTGAACACAAAGCGAGACCTTGTCTCAAAAAAAAAAAAAGATATGATGTAAATAATTAATAGAATTATTTTTGGTAAAATCTTGAAAGTTTGTATTTGTTTAATAATATGAAGCAGCTGAGGTTTATTGAAGTGTACAATTTTGAAAATGAGTGGGGAATGGGAGCATCACGCTTGCTTCACCCTCTTCCTCCGCAGCCGGGCCCCTCAGATGCGAGCTGCGCCCAGGCCCATGCCCAGGCCAGCCCCAGCGGCCCCGACCCCGGTGGTGGCCCCGCCTTCTGCGGTGGGCTCACCTGCTGCTCCACGACAACCGGGTCTGATGGCCCAGATGGCGACCACTGCAGCAGGTGTGGCCGTGGGCTCTGCCGTAGGGCACACGCTGGGCCACGCCATCACAGGCGGCTTCAGCGGGGGAGGCAGCGGCGAGCCCTCCAGGCCTGACATCACCTACCAGGTAAGCCTCCTCGGTGCTGTATTTTCTGAGGAAACTTGGTTGTGTATAAGTTCCTGATGTGTGAGGGTGAGGACTGTCTGAGAATGCAGAGTGCTGTGAACAGCAGCACTTGAGAGACTGAGGCAGGAAGATCGCTGTGAGTGTGAGGCCAGCCAGGGCTACATAGCGAGACCCTGTTTCAACAGACAGAAAATAGGTTATCAAAAGGCACATTAGGCAGTGAAGCCAGCACCTTAGCCACCATCAGCAAGTACTGTGGACTGTTTTTCCCAAGGAGTAGAATTGTAACAGTTCAGCCTGACACACTATAAATTAGCTGCTTTTGAGATGGGGTCTTGGTGTGTAGTCCAGCCTGGCCCCAGACTTTCAGTGATCCTCTTGCTTCAGCCTCCCAAGTGCTGAAACTACAGGCGTGTGCCACTGTACCCATTTTAAATAGCTATTTTCCCTTGATGGTGCTTCTTACTAATCCAGTCTCAATCAAAAATTTCTCTTTTGGTGGTACAGGGGATTGAGCCCAGGGCCTTTACACTGAGCTACATTCCCAGCCCCCTTTTTTCTCATTTTTATTTTGAGACAGGGGTCTCAGAGGTTACTTGGGCTGAGCTAGAACTTGGCCATCCTCCTGCCTCAGCCTCTTGGAGTGCTGAGAGTCAGGCTTGTGCCATAACCCTCTGGTCCCTTTCCGGTGCTCCCCGCCATCTTCCTTTCTGTGAGTTTTCTTTCCTAAGGAGCCCGAGTGTGTCCTGGTGTATTGCTGGTGTACTTGAAACTCATCCATCTATTTTTCCTATAATAGTCTCACTTTTCATCTATGGCGCTTCACTGAATGTTTTTGTTTTGTTGTGTTTTTAGACGGGGTCACTAAATTGTCCAGGCTAGGTTGAACTTGTGATCCTCCTGCCTCAGCCTGCCAAGTAGCTGGGATTGCAGGTGTATGTCACTGTGCCCAGCTGATTTATTTTTTTTTTTATTTTACTTTTGTGGTGCTAGGGCCCAACCCCAGGGCCTTTCACATGCCTTTTGCTGTCCCACTAGGCTGCCTACCTGGCCCGTCTCTTCTTGAGCGGCCCAGATAACTGTTCCCCTTGCTTGGACTTTTTTCTGTTTTGGGCGGGGCGGGGGGGCGGTTCTCACCAGGGATTGAACTCGGGACTTTTCCCTTCCGAGGTAGGCAGTGGTGGTTGTTCTTTGATTTGTATCTGATTCTGGTTCTGTTTCCGGGTTAACCCCAGGCCACCCCCTGCCCGGGTGTAATCCAGTTCCTCAGCAGTGCTGGGTGTTTCCTTGCAGGAGCCTCAGGGAGCCCATCTGCATCAGCAGGCATCCAGTGGGCCCTGCTCCTTTGAGATAAAGCAGTTTCTGGAGTGTGCGCAGAACCAGCCTGACGTGAAGCTCTGCGAAGGGTTCAATGAAGTACTGAGGCAGTGCAGGATCGCGAACGGTGGGTGACTCCGCTTCCTTCCTCTGTCCGCTTACTGAGCCCAGGGAGTTCAGCGTGTACCAAGGTGGCCCCACCCAAGGTGGCTCCCAGATTCTGTCCCTAGTGCACACACTGCTCCTTCCAGCCGTGGGGGTGGGCTGGGTCCCCTCTGTGGCGCTCAGAAGAAAACAGTAACATGGGTACCTGTTGATTTCTGCAGCTGGCGCTCTGCTAATGAACCCCTTCTGTTTGCAGGACTCCTCTAAGCAGGAAGTCACAGGGAAGACTCGAAACCGACCCCGACCAAGTTACTTTAGCCTGGAAGTATAATTAATAAAGTGTAAAACCATTCAGTTCAACCTCATTTCGGCTTAAGAACGGCAGTGAAGAGGGTGTTCTGGTCACACGGATGGGGCAGAATTGGGGACACGTGTGCATGAGTGGCCTCCTAAGCCAGCTGTTGTGATGTTAGTAGTTAGAATAAAGTGATTCTCTTCCAAGGACTGGTGTGGTGCTCACTGTCAGGTCACCCCAGAACATAGTACAGAGAGCTTGGCTCGCTCATCTGCACTTGGGTGTGAAATACGCAGCCAACCCGGGGCTTCCGGCAGGGAGTTTGGCGCCAGCGCTGTCTCTTGTGAAGGTTCCAGCTGTTGTCGGCCTCTGGAGCCCAGTGAACTGAGAGGCACCGGAACCGCTTAAAATCCTGCTTTCGGGGCTGGGGACCAGCTGCAGAGTGGGCCTCAACTCGGGGAGGCCTGGCCTCACTCCTTGGCACTGGGAGAGAAAGTCTCAGCTGTGAGGTGACCAGGGAGGTGAGGGAGCAGACATGTCTGTTGCCGGTGGTTCCTGGGTCACCAGAGGTCACCATCCTCCCAGTTGATCAGGCATCTGGTGATGAAAACTTAATTCAGACAGAAACTCCCCTTGCAGAAGCTTTTCCTCTACTTGGTGGCCTGCTCAGGGGACATGGTTTCCTCTTCTGGAAGATGACACTGTCCCTGCCCCGCCTGCCTTGGGATGAACTGGGCCTTGTGCACTCAGCAAGAGATCAGACACCCCCGGCCTGGGTTTTTTCTCTTCAAGTGAGCCTAGCTGCATCTCTCAGCGCAAAATTTGTTTTTGGGGCTGGGGATTTAGCTCAGTGGTTTCGCCGCCTGCTGCGCAAGTGCAAAGACCCAAGTTCGATCCCCAGTACCAAAAAAAAAAAAAATTTGTGTTTTTAGGACTTAGCTCCTGTCCACATTTTATTGTGCTGTTCTGTTTTGAGACAATCTCACTATGTAGCCCAGGCTAGCCTCAAATTCATGGCAATCCTGCCTCAGCCTCCTAGAGTGCTGGGATTGCAGATGTGGATTCCCATGGCGCCTGACAAGGTCTTCGTCATATAAGCCAATTGTAGGGAGCCCTGATAGCTAGATTCCTGTGACACCTGTACGTTGCGCCGTGTTCCCTATAAAGCCAGCCCTCCCTCCAGGCCCAGAGGCCAGGAGAGCCCCAGAGGGAAGATGTTTCCCCCATCCTGCCTGGTCCTGCTTGGTCCCCGGCCACCTGAGCTTCCCTCGCCCTCCACCAGAGGCCACCACTGGTGAGACTGGGGCCTGGGCCCCCTCCCTACCAAGCCTTGGCAGCGCCCCAGCTTTGCACTTGGGATTTATTTTTGGTGCGTCAGCCTCCGTCATCAAATAGCAAAGCCAAAAGCAGAGCCACAGGATCCTCTTACTGCAACGCCAGTGTCCGCTTGGGACACAGCCTCGGCCTCGCTGTGCCTGCTCCCCCAGGAGCCCCAGGACCTTTGGGATTCTTGTCACGGTCAACAGAGGCCCTGCAAGGACCTAACGGTGAGTGGCCAGGCAGCAGGCAGGTAGTAGGAGAGCCAGGGGTAGAGAAGACAGAACTCCCATGTCTGCTAGGTCCATTTCTCTTCTGAATGCAGACACACCCAGGAAAGGGTCCCCATCGACTCTGTTTTGTTTTGCTTTTTGAGACAGGGTCTCACTATGTAGTTCAGGCTGGCCTCGAACTCACTATGTAGCCCAGACTGACCTCCAACTTACTATTGGTGATCCTCCTGCCTCAGCCTCCGGAGTGCTGGGATTACAGGCATGGGGCATCCACTCAAGACACCTGTCTGGAAGTATTTTTCTCCAGAAACCCAGTGCCTGTGTCTGTTTCCTGACTCTAGGTTTCGGGAGGCTGTTCCCTCCCAGCATAGGGTGGCATCCCCGTGGAGGGCCTGTGCTGCCCAGTTTGGGGACATGAATGCACAATGCCCATCTTGGGTCTCGAAACGGGCTGCTTTCTGCAGAGACTCTGGCTCTGGGGGTCGCTGATGGCAGGCAGGAGCCCCGAGTGCACCAGCGCCCGCCCTGGAACAGGAGCCTGTTGTTACTCTAACCCTTCCCCAGGCAACCAGGCAGCCGGGAGCGGGGCGCCAGGGCTCCGGGAAGAGGCAGCCCAAGTCCCTAGGTCACCAGGGCTGCTGCTGGGCCGAGACCCAGCCTCCGGCTGCCGTCCTCAGAGAGACGGAAGTTGTGCCTCTTTTCTCTCTGCCCCTGCCAAGGTCTTGGCAGGGACTCTACATCCCTCAGATCCTGTGTCCGAGGTCCCCGCAGGTGCCCCTGTGTTTCTGACAGCACAGGCCAGCTCTGCCCTTCCTGTCCGTCCTGACTCGGGACCCCCAGGGGCCAAAGAGCACGGGGCATCTGCCGTAGGCCCCTGGGCCAGGCCCAATGTCACCTCACCTAGGGAGCAGCGCCAGCGTCTCTGCCTGGGTCCCGAGGGCAGAGATGGCCGAGACCTCCCAGAGACAACCCTAGTCTTGGGAGGGGACGGGGCACTGGGTGGGGACACTGGAGGGTGGGATCAGCCTCACCCTGCCCTGCATTCCCCCAGACACAGGGTGCTGTGATGGGAAAGAGCCAAGGCTTGGGAGCTGCAGGATGAAGGAGGAAGGAGAGAGGACTTAGAACGGCCCGGTTACTGACGGGAGGAGTGGGGAGAGGTGAAGTGGGTCTGGGAAGGAAGTGTTCTCCAAGTGCGGCAGTTACAGCGGCGGAGCTGCGGAGAGGCATGGGACAGGAACAGTAGTAGAACAGCAGACAGCAGGCAGAAGAAAAGGACCGCATGGCCTGCAGACAGAAAAGGAAACTACACTCTAAATTGTCCTCTGTAACCCAAGCACTCTGGGAGGCTGAGGCAGGAGGATCCCAACTTCAACCCCAGCCTGGGCAATTCAGTAACCTAGCAAGAGCTGTGTCTCCAAATAAAAAAGGACTGAGGATGTAGCTCAATACAAAGGCCCTGGGTTCAATCCCCAATACCAGGGGAGGGAAAAGAACCCTCTGTAGCTTCTCTGTGGTTCTCAAAGCAAAGATGTGCATGCCTCAGAGCTAACCTTGGGGCCCCGACCCTCTGCCCCAGCCTGCGCCTGCGCCTACGCAGGGCCGACCAGCTGCTGCCCCCACGTGGAGCTGTGAGGAACCACAGTGTCCTGTGAGGTCACAGCGCCAAGAAGCCAACCCTGCTCTTCCAAGGCTGCAGGCACGGGGGAGGCAAATGCTCAGGAGGGGAATGGTCATCACTGGGACCGGAGGGGCTGCCAGGACAGACCGGGCAGGGATCTGTACGTCCACAAACCTCTCTTGAATGTTCACTGTAGGCCAGTCACGTGCCAGGAGATAAAAAAGGCAAGAGAGCTGGGTGTGGTGACGCGCACCTGTAACCCCAGCACTCAGGAGGCTGAGGCAGGAGGATCACAGCCAGTTCCAGGGCAGCCTGGGCTACACAGCAAGACTGTCGCAAAGGGGTGGGAGGGCTGACCGCTTCCTTCTGCTCCCCCCCCCCCGACCCTTGGAATCTCTGCCCCAGGAGCCCAGCATGACCCGAGACGAGGCCCTGCCAGATTCTCACTCCGCCCGGGGGTTCTATGAGAACTATGACCCCAAGGAGATCCTGGGCAGGTAAGAAGCGCCACCCTCTGCTAACCTGGCCCCGCCCCCCTGGAGAACTGCCCCGTCAGGGTCCTGCCCCCCCTTAACCCAGGACAGGCACAGGGGCCGGAGACCGCTCCCACACCCAACCCCAGCCTTGGGCTAGCGCAGGGCTCGGGGACCTGAGGGGAGGTTGTGGCTGCCCTAGGAGCAGGGAAGGAACCTGAGACCAGAGCTGGGCGCAGTGGAGGACGCCAGAGATGCCAGCAGTTTGGGAGGCTCAGGCAGGAGGATCACAAGTTCAAGTCCCACCTGGACAACTTAGCAAGGTGCTGCCTCAGAATGAAAAATGAAAAGGGGTTGGGCATATAGTTTAGCGGTGGGGGACCCCAGGGTTTGACCCCGAGTGCCACGAAGCAGAGCCAGCGAGGGAGGACCCAGCCCTGACACCTATCTAGGTAAACAAGCCCTCTGGGCCTCTTTCCCCAGAGCTCATGGGAGTGGGAGGAAATGCAAGTGGCTAGGTGCAGGCAGGCCTCTCAGCCGTGGCCCTCACCCAGGGGCCCCATCCCCGCCCCCCAGGGGTGTCAGCAGCGTGGTCAGGCGATGCATCCACAAGCCCACCTGCAAGGAGTATGCCGTGAAGATCATCGACGTCACCGGCGGGGGCGGCTTCAGCCCCAAGGAGGTGCAGGAGCTGCGGGAGGCCACGCTGAAGGAGGTGGACATCCTGCGCAAGGTCTCGGGACACCCCAATGTCAGTGAGTGGCACTCCGCGGAGGCCCCAGGACTCCCTGGGCGCCATCCTGTGTCCCCACCACCACACAGCGGCCTCAGGGCCCTCCCCAGGTCCACTGCCCCAGCCCAGAGACGAGCCCGCCGTTTCCATTTCAGTCCAGCTGAAGGACACTTATGAGACCAACACTTTCTTCTTCCTGGTGTTTGACCTGTAAGTACCGCGCCCAGGCCTCGAGAGAGCCTGTGCTCTGCTCCTGCCCAGTGCAGTCCCGGGACCAGTCCTCCCCCAAGGAGGGTCAGGCCGCCCCTTGGCTCAAGCTGGCAGGATTGGAAACCTGTGTTCAACACTTAGGGGCTGGGTCATTGAAGTATTAGTTTTCTTTTTCCTTTTTTGGTTCTTTGTGACAGGGTCTCACTGTGCAGTTCAGGCTGGCCTTGAACCCACTGTGTAGTCCAGGCTGGGCTCGAACTCACAGCGATTCTCCTGCCTCAGCCTCCCAAATAGTGGGATTACAAGTGTGCGCCACCACACCTGGCCATCACCATTTTTATTAGAAACGCTCCCCAGGGAAGGGAACTCTTCACTCCTACTCACTACATGGACCACTGTTGTAGGACTGTGTTGAGCAATTTCTCCCTATGTAACAGTTAATGTAAGGGCTGGATTTACGTGAGAAAATCACCCAGGTGGCTTTGCTGAGTTTGTACAGCAGGAGCTACAACTTTTTTTGGTGGTGGTACTGGGGATTGAACCCAGGGTTACACCCCCAGCTGCTTTCTTTTTTTTGAATTACAACTGTTTTATTTTATCTTACAAATGATTTTATTACAAACGATTTTTGATATATTTAAGTAATAATGTATTTATACATAAAATCTTATCATCATACATTCTAATTGGCTGTGGGCCACTTTGGCTTAGCATATAATCCCCTTCTCCCTGCTGCTGAAATCTGGGGTACAAGAATCTGCCTATCTTGCTGCTGTCCGAGAGACACATTTTGGTAATCCCAAATTTGTCAGCTTTTTTGGTTTTGTTTTGAGACAGGGTCTCGTTATGTAGTTCAGGCTGGGCTTGAACTCACTGTGTAGCCCAGGCTGTCCTTGAACTTCCAGCCATTTTTTTCTTACTTTGAGACAGGTCTCCCTCAGTTGCCCAGGTTGCCCTCAGATTTGTAATCCCCTGCCTCAGCCTCCTCTCCTTCACCCTCCTGGGATTATAGGCTTGTGCCAGCCCACCTGGCCCTGAGACACAATTTAACCTGTCACATGTGTACAATTAAGCTGTCAGCTCCAAGAAGACAGGAGCCCGCTGCTGTCCCTTGCATGGTGCCCACATTTACTGGTAAACCTTGGTTGCTGCTGATGTCAATAGTGAATCCTCCTTTCAAATGGATTAAAATGATAAAAACAGGTTTTAGAGATAGGCCAGTGGCAGAGCACTTACTAGCATACTCAAGGCCCTGGGTTCCATCCCTAGCACTGAAGAAAAACAAAAAAAGATAGACTGGATTCATAGGAGCGGCATGATGGCGCACACCTCCAACCCCAATACTCAGGAGGCTGAGGCAGGAGGAGTTCCATGAGTTTGAGGCCAGCCTGGATTGCACGGGAGAACTTGTCTCAAAGAAAACTAGATTCACATGTCACCTTTTAAAAAGATAGTAAATATTGTATAAAACAAGGCTCACCCTGTAAATTCTAGGTGTCAAACAGACCCCGTGGCTACCCCACTCAGCAAGCCCAGGAGTTTTCTTGCTTCTCTCCAACGCTGGGCACAAACTTGCTCCTTTGCCCTAGGATCCTGCTGCTGTCCCCACAGGTGGGCGCTGGACACACCTTTGTCCATTTAGCCAAGGGAGGCTGTCCTAGGACCCTTCCCAGCCTGCTGGGTCGAAGCTGTTGCGCCCCACTCAGACACAGCTCGGATGTCCGTAACCTTTGAGGAGGCTGCTGGGGAAGCTATTTTTACTGCTGCCCAGGAGCCCTCTAGGGCGCGTGAGAGCACTCTGCCGCCCAGCTCTGCCTGGCTCCTCCCAGGAGCTAAGCAGACTGAACCCTGAACCACAGCTCTATAATCCTGCTGGAACAAACAGTTTCCCCACATCACTGTAAACTCCTACTGTTTTCCTGGGCAAACTCAAAATATTCAAGTCCTGGGCCGGGGATTTAGTTCAGTGGTTCCAGTGCCTGCCATGCAAGCACAAGGTCCTGAGTTCGATCCTGGTACCAAACAAACAAACAAATATTCAAGGCCTCCTGATCCGTTCTGGGGTCCTAGGGCTCCTACAACCCCAGCTCTGACTTGGGCCCTGACAGGCCCCGGCCCATGATGTCACTTGCACAAATGGGGACCCCACACTCCTTACCCCACTCTCCAGCCTCCCCTGCTTCTCTTCCAGTCTTTCCTGACTTCTCCACTCCCCTCTGCAGCCCCTTGCCCTGACTGGGTCCTGCCGGGGTGCAGCCCTCTTGGCCTGTAGGACATTAGGGCACAGGACACAGCTCCCTGGGAGCAGGGGCAGGGGAGGGTGGCTGGGACCGAGCCAGCATCATACCCTTGGTTCCCACAGGATGAAAAGGGGCGAGCTCTTTGACTATCTTACTGAGAAGGTCACTTTGAGCGAGAAGGAAACCAGGTAGCGTGCGTCTGTCTGCCCGTCCATCCTTTCACCCTTCCCAGATCCTTCCCCAAGTCCCAGAGCCACAGGGCCAGGGTCCCAGGGAGGCACAACGTGCCTGTCATGCTGGGCGTGCACACTGCTGGCTTCGGTGGCCTCCCTGTCACCCGACCCTGAGGAGTGGAAGAGTGACGTGATGTGTGGTGGGACACTCCAATGACGGGATGAAGTGCTGCCTGATTCTAGAACAAAAAACAAAGCCAAATGGGCCTGGGAGGAGCTCAGTGGAAGAGCACTCGCTTAGCATGTTCCAGGCCCTGGGTTCGATCCCTAGGCCCCCACCCCCCTCCCCGTCCTCACCTTCCCCTGAAAGAGTGACGTGTGTGCTCCCGGCCTCAGGAAAATTATGAGGGCCCTGCTGGAGGTGATCAGTGCCCTGCACAAGCTCAACATTGTGCACCGGGACCTGAAGCCTGAGAACATCCTCCTGGATGACAACATGAACATCAAGCTCACCGACTTTGGCTTCTCCTGCCAGCTGCAGCCCGGAGAGAAGCTTCGAGGTCCGGTACCATGGCAAGGCCCAGGCAGGGTCCAAGGCTCCCTCGTTGGTGACCCCAGGAACACACACTGCCTGGGCTCCCCCCTCTGCCCCATCTCAGGGGCTCCAGCTAAGTCCTCTTTCCCAGACTGAGCAGAGCCAGTTGCCACTGTCTGAGTCCAGGCCGGGATGATCACATGAGAGCCCCAGCCCCATTCCGGTCCATCTCGGGCCCCCCTGCTGCGTCCTGACAGTAGCTCTTCTGCAGAGGTCTGTGGGACCCCCAGCTACCTGGCCCCAGAAATCATCCAGTGCTCCATGAACGACGACCACCCGGGCTACGGGAAGGAGGTGGACATGTGAGTGGGTGCGGCGCGGCCCCGGGACCGCCCCTGCTGCTGCTCCCCCTGCCGAACCGGTGTGAGGAGGCCCCCCACCCTGCAGGTGGAGCACGGGGGTGATCATGTACACCCTGCTGGCCGGCTCCCCGCCCTTCTGGCACCGGAAGCAGATGCTCATGCTGAGGATGATCATGAGCGGCAACTACCAGTTCGGCTCCCCAGAGTGGGACGATTACTCCGACACCGTGAAGGACCTGGTGAGGCCGGGCGGCGCGGGCCCACGCCACGTCTCCCAAAGCGCCAGCGGCCGCGGCCCTGCGACCTCAGCGCCCCTCCGCCCCCAGGTCTCCCGCTTCTTGGTGGTGCGCCCCGAGAGCCGCTGCACAGCAGAGGAGGCCCTGGCGCATCCCTTCTTCCAGCAGTACGTGGTGGAGGAGGTGCGGCACTTCAGCCCCCGCGGGAAGTTCAAGGTGCGAGGCCCCTCAAGGTGCGAGGCCCCGAGGCACGCGGTCCCCACAAGCTCGCGGTCCCCACGGGCACCCGGTCCCCCACCCCGGGCCTCCAAGCCTCCTGCCTCCAGCTCAGCTGGGACCGCAGGGAAGGCGGAGGTCACCCCGTGGCTCCCGCTGCTCCCCGCAAAGGTGGTAGCGCAGGGCCGGGAAACCCGGCCAAGGGCCGCCCGCACTAAGCCGGCTCGGGGTCCTGTCCCGGCCCGCGCAGGTCATCGCGGTGACCGTGCTGGCCTCCGTCCGGATCTACTACCAGTACCGCCGCGCCAAGCCGGTGACCAGGGAGATCGTCATCCGCGACCCCTACGCCCTGCGGCCCCTGCGCCGCCTCATCGACGCCTATGCCTTCCGCATCTATGGGCACTGGGTGAAGAAGGGGCAGCAGCAGAACCGCGCCGCGCTGTTCGAGAACACGCCCAAGGCTGTGCTGCTGTCGCTGGCTGAGGAGGAGGACTTCTGAGGGGAGGGGAGGCTCGCAGGGACAGAGGGAGGGGACTGGCGTGGGGCCATGGCCCGGAAGGCTCGGCACACACGCACGCACGGGGAGGCGAGGGGTCCCCAGCGCAGTTTGCCCCCTCGGTTCTGTGGCGGGGGCCTCTTCCCTAGGGTCCTGGGCGACGACAGAAGACGGAAATGTCTGCCATGCGCCCGCGGGAGACTTCTGCAACCTGTGGTCCAGCACGGCCAGAGGCTCGGAGCCCCACACCACGAACAGCGGGGGAGCTTCGGGTCCTCTTCCACGAGTACTGTTTACTTGGTGCGTTACTTGGTTCTCCCAGACCCCTGAATTCTGAAACAGGTTCTTGGCCGTGAGGGGGACACCGCAGAAAGGCAAATGAGGGACGCAGCTTCTTTCTACAAGAACTGGCTAGGAAGCTGGTCATGGTGACACTCATCTGTAGTCCCAGCCCTCAGGAGGCTGAGGCAGGAAGATCACCGGGAATTCGAGACCAGCCTGGGCTACACAGTGAGTTCAAGGGCAGCCTGAACTACATGGTGAGACTTTGTCTCAACACCCCACCCCACCCCACCCCCACCCCCGGCAAAAAAAATTCCTTAAGGAAAGAGCTACCTAGAGGGAATTCTGCCACAAGGAAACAATGTCAGATCCCTGAATCAGACTGGGAGGAAGGGAACAGACCTTCCAAGCAGTAGACTGGACTTTGAGTATCTGGCCCCAGGGTCAGCAGCACTTGACCTCTAAGGGAAACCTCCCAGCTCCCAGTCCACCCTGCGGGCCTGTTCTCCACCCAATTCTCCACCCAACACCCGGGACCCCGCCCAGGGTCCCCTCCTGCCCTGGTGGGAGATAGTGAGGGAGGGAGGGCAGGATGCGGGTGTGCTGGGGATGCCCTGGGAATGACAGAGTGCCGAGGGGCTCCACACCCAGTTCACAGCTCACTGAGGGGCCGGCCCTTGCTGGCCGCACAGCGGAAGCCCAGATTGTCCGAGGCTGAATCAGGAGTATTTCCCATCCTGCCAATGGAAGGGGAGAAAGAATGGGCGCGTGCGTACCGAGGGGCTTGGCCTTTCCAGCCCTACCCCCGCCGGGGCTCAGAGGTCTGGGTGCCTACACAGCCTGGCAGTAGGGCAGGTTCTGTGCCACAGCCACTTGGGGAGGAGGCGAGGGCGACCAGGTGAGTGAGCAGTTTCCAATAGCTCAGCCTAGGCATCTGGAGGTCAGAAATGAGCCATCCCGCCTGCTCAAGGGTCTCACAGATGTTCCTCACGGCACTGTGCTCGGGAGGGTCTCACAGCTTTGTAGACAAGAATCAGACTGGGGCAGATGGAAAGTCCTGCCTGGGGCCACTCCTGCTGGGCCCGGAAAACAGTGACAAACCGAGGTTCACAGGTGGGGACTTCCTCCACCCACTGTCCAGAAACAAAGGTGAAGAGAATTCGCTGCTATTCTTCAGGAACCCGGGGTGGGAGAAAAGAGATGGACCTCATCAGGTCCACAGGGGTGAGGCAGAGCTTTGAATTCCCCCAGGAGCTGGGGCTGCCACCCTTCAGGCGCCCCCACTAGCCAGCACCTCCCTGAACCTTCTTCATTATGAAACAGTGATTATGACAAATGTTTTGTGTGCCCCAGTTTGAGGGGGCAGTGATTCCATGACCACTGGTGCTGCCACTGCTGTGGCTACTCCGCTTGCTTCCCGGCCCCTGGCTGTGAGGACAAGAGGGGACATGCTGTCTCCCCGGGTGTGGGACCTGGCGGGAAACGTTCCTCAGCTGTCCCAGTCCCTCTTGCTTTCTGTGGCCACACTGCTCACTCCCTCCCCTGCCTGACTCCCGGTGGAAGTGGGGTGCAGCAGCAACACCCGCCCTGCACCTGAGCCAAGGACCCTTGGAGCAAGGGCCTCACCTGGTGGTGACCCGGGCCTGGTGGTTGGCAGAGCCATCGGCCGTGTCAATCCAGGATGCCCCCCGGAGGACATGCATGTCCTGCTTAGCCGGCTGGTAGGGCGACGAGGTCCACTCCCACACGTTGCCCACAAGGTCAAAGAGCCCTGCGGGGAAATGGCGGTGGGGGTGCTTTTCTCTGCCTCCCACATCAGGCACAGGGATCCAGCCCAGCAAGCAACCTGTGAGAGCGTGCGAGTGCCATAGCGCCCTGAGGGAAGCCTTACCGTAGTCGTTCTGCGGGGGAAAGGCGTTCACCGGGGACACTCCGTGGAAGCCATCCTCAGCTTTGTCACCCTTGGGGAACTTTCCCTGATGGCAGAAATGACAGCTAAAGGACAATCGGCCTGTCCCAGGGCAGGGGTTACCTTCCTCCCACCCAGAGGGAAGCCTAGCTCTCTCACCCTGCTGTATCACCGGGCAGGGCAGGGCAGGGCAGGACCCACGGTGCCCACTGCAGTCCGTTTCCAGCCTGCCTGTGCCCGCCTCACCCACCCTCAGCAACTTCCTCCCTTGTGCTAGAACCCTGAGGCCACAGTGCCGCAGGAGAGAAGAGGGGCAGCTCGATTCTGTGCTCAGCAGAGCCACCCTGCGGCTGTCTCAGGGTCACCCGGGCTGTCTCTTCATGTCTCTCCCTTCTGCAACCACCACTCATAACCCTCTTCTCTGCCTTGACTCGACCTTCCCTCTCACCTGCTCCTCATCAGCAAAATTCTTCAAAATGTAACCTATGTTTGCTGCTATCATTTGTTCAACTTGGTCATTTTTCTTCTAAAACTGAGCTTCAATACATGACTGTAATCCCAGCACTGGGGAGGCTGAAGCAGGAGGATTACATGAGGTCAAGGCCAGCCTGAACTACACAGTGAGACCCTGTTTCCAAAAAAAGTTAAAAGAAAAAAAAAAGGTGGGACCTTTAAAAGGAGATAACTAGGTCACTGCGGCATCACCTTAGGAGCAGACTACTGCTGGTTTCTTGGACTTAGTTCCCATGAGAGTGGGTTGTTATAAAGCAATGTTGCCCTCTGTGGCCCCTTCCACCTTTCCAAGTTGCCCTGGGGGTGGGGGGAGTTGCAACTTGCCAGATGCCAAACAAATGGGGCTGCAGGGTACGGGCCTTTAGCCTGTAGAACTGTGAGCTGAGTAAACCTGTCTTCTTTCTTTCTTTCTTTTTTGGTACTGGGGATCGAACTTGGGTCCTAGTGCTTGCGAGGCAGGTGGTGGAACTACTGAGCTAAATCCCGGCCCCAGAACCTGTCTTCTTTAAAAAATACTCAGCATCTGGTATTATAGCAATGGAGAAGAGATACGTACTCTCGAGCCACTTGCTCTGGCCTGGGGCTCTGTTCTAAGCTTCAGATTCCAATTTTCAACTTCTCATTTTTTAGTGGTACTAGGAATCCAGCCCGGGGCCTTTCGTGAGCTTGTCCTGCTCACTGCCCTGAGCTCTGCGGCCATGCTCCGCCCCAGCCCTCCTGAGCATACACATGACCCAAAGACACCCTAAACCGAGCTCACCCTGAGGGACCTGGTTCTGTCCCCAGGGGCCCCAGTGCAGATCTAGTGTGGACAATGGCAGCACTGGCACCATCCAGCCACACCCAGATTCATGCTTGAATCCAACCTGGCACACTGCTCAGTTACTACACCTTGCTCACCCTCTTACATACTTGCGTGCTGTCTGGCTTTCTCCACCGCCACCATGCATTTTTTGGGACAGGGTCTTACTGTGTAGCCTAGACTGGCCTCAAACGCGCGACCTCCCTGCCTTGGCCTCCTGTGTGCTGGGATCACAGGTGTGCACCACCATGACCGACTGGCTGGCTTCCTCGCTAGATCCCACTTTTCCTTAATACAGAGCCAAGAGGCAGGGTCTCTGCCACAGCTGCAACTCAGAGACTTCCTGTCAGCCCTGCAGCTTGACCTCATCTGTGCTGCATAAATCAACAACGAGCAGCAAGCATTTCCCCCTCAGTCGACCTCCTACCACTCCAGCCGTATCCTCGGATGGGGTGGTGAACATAGCTCAGGGGTACGGTGCTTGCCCAGCAACCCCAAAGCCTTGGTTCCAACCCTAGAACCTCAAGAGAAAAGGCAGAACACTTCAGTTGGCACAATACAATTCAATGCTAGGTACTCTGCTCATTTCCTATGCTGGGATGACTTTTTTTGCAGTACTGGGGACTGAATGGAGAGCTTTGCACTGAGCTACATCCCAGCCCTTTTTTGTTTTGTGGTACCGGGGATCAAACTCGGGACCTTGCACTTGCGAGGCAGGTGCCAGAATCACTGAGCTAAATCCCCGGCCCCATCCCAGCCCTTTTTAAAATTATTTTTTTAGGTTCTAAGACAAGGTCTTGCTAACTTGCTAAGCTGCCCAGGCTGGGCTTGACTTTGTGATCCTCCTGCCTCAGCCTCCCAGAGTTGTGAGATTACAGACGTGTGCCATCACAGCTGACTGGAATGCACCTTCTTGCACTTCACTGGGCAACTCCCTGCTTAACCTGCACAAGTGTCCCCTCTTGTGATGTCACCCAGCACCCTGAGAGATGCTGCCTTCTGCCTGAGCAGCAGAGTCCTGCACCACCCCCCCCCGACTGACCCCAGGGCCCACCCATGCCTGGGGAAGGAGGGAGGGCAGTCTCACCTGCCACAGGTTGGTGCGGTTGGGCTGGAACCTGTTTCCCCAAGGGTAAACCTGACCTGCCAGGAGACCAGGCACCACAGAGAGAGGCCAGAGTTAGAGAAGGGAAAAAATGAGGGAACCAGGGGGATGTTAGGAGGTGACAAGAAACAGACTGGGGTCATTTACTTTATTCCCCATACCCATCCCCTCACTCTGCACTGCACTGGGGACCCTTGACTTGGATCTCCTGAGTTGTTCTATTATTGACTGACTGATTGATTGATTGACTGCAGTACTGGGGATCGAACATAGGCCCTTCACACTGAGCTACATCCCCAGCCCTTTTTATTTTTTACTTTGAGATAAGGTCTCTGTAAACTGTCCAGCCAGGACTCACACTCACGATGTTCGGCCTCCCAAGTGCTGGGATTACAGGCGTGCACCACTACACCTTGGTAATTACATTTACTGAAATGTAACTTAATACTGTGGAATCTCCAACAATAAAATATTGTACATCTGCTTTTCTTTCCACACCAGTTTCTCATTTTTATGGCACTGTACAGATGTTCTGGAACATCAGTGCTACCACAATTAGTGCCTCACCACGGACAGGCCGGGGTGCGCTGGGGAACAGCCCCTTCCCACCCTGCAGAGCTCCTGGTGCAGCAGGCTGAGGACAGGACAGGGAATGGCCCTGGTGATCGTACCCTTCAGGCCACCCCGGGCAGCGAACTCCCATTCCTCCTCGGTGGGCAGCCTGCGGCCCCGCCATCTGCAGTACGCCTGGGCGTCGTTCCAGCTCACGTGGAGCACAGGCTGCTCCAGCCTGTCCCGGATGCCAGAGCCGGGACCTGTGGGCTGACGGCCGGGATGGATTGAGACAGGAGGCTGTGCCCACCCGGGGCCTGAGCTCAACTCCACTGCTAAATGGAGCCAGGGCAGTGGGAGAGAGCTTGGCTGAGCGAGAACCGACCAGAGCCAGCAAAGGGACCAGAGACTCACGGAGAAGCGGGTGGGCAGCAGGGAAAGCAGTGAGGTAGAGGACTGCTGGGTGTTGGCCTGGGACCCCCAAGGCATTGCTTACAGCTTGGTATCTCCGGAGGGGTGAGGGGTCTGGGGAACTAGTCTCCTGAATAAGACTCAGGAGGGGCCCACGATGGGGTGGAGGAGCCAGCACTTACCTGCCTCCAAAATGCCCTTTCCACTGGAAGCCACCAGAGGACAGGCTGCAGAAAGGAGGGAGGTGGGGGCAGGGTGCTGCAGCCCAGGCAGGCACTTGGGGCTGGGGTCTTCACAGGGCATCTGACCACCCTCGTTAGAGCCCCAGGATGTTCTCTCGGGGGTGCAGTATCTGAACCCTGCGTTCCTCTGGACTTTGATCAATCTCTCTACCCAAGAACAAGCTCAGGGCTCCCTCCCATGAGTACATATTGGCCTGGGCTCCTCCAGAGTGCGTTTGCCTCGCTTCCTCTCCACCTCCAGCTCTCAGGTAGGTCTGCCCCTGCACTGTGGCCTGGGTGACCCCGCATCCCACAGGATTCTGGACTAGCCCCCACTCCCATCCCCTCAGCTCAGGACCTTGTCTTCTCACCTTCATCTGCTGGGCTGCTTTGTTTTTTAGCTCACTGGAGACGAACTCCTCAAAAACAAAGCTCCACCCAAAGAGCTCAGCCTCCGTCCGGTACTTTTTCTCCCTGACAAATTTCCTGGAAAGAGATTTCCCTGGTCTCAGCTGAGGGGTTTGGTACCCCATCCCTCTCCTGGTCTAGGAAACCTCTTAATTCCCTTGTCCCATAAGAAATACACCACACATGGGCCAGAGATATGGCTCAGTGGCACCGCGCCTGCCTCACAAGTGCAAGGTCCTGAGTTCGATCCCCAGTACCAAAAGAAATATACCACACAGTTTTCAAGATGCCAAGGGATTAACCTAAAAGCCCAAGCAGAATTTCTTTGCAATTAGGCTATAACTCACATACAGTAAAATTACCCCCACCCTGTACCAGGGATCGAACTCAGGACCTTGTGCTTGCAAGGCAGGCATGGCACCAATGAGCTAAATCCCTGGCCCAAATTGTATAGTTCTGTGAGTCCTGACCAAATGTACAATCACTACCACAATCAAGCTGCCACCAGGGGTGTAGCTCAGTGGTAGCGTGTTTGCCTAGCCAGGTGCAAGGCCTGGTCCCATTCCACCAGCGTGCGCGCGCACAC